AATGGGGTTGTTTGTGCTTTAGCCTCTCTGTGAACATGTGTATTGGTCTTCTGTTTAACATTCAGCCTAAAATATGTCACAAAATGTGTGTCAAAGGAGTTGCTTTGCTCTCCTACCTGTTATGCTTTTGTATTCAACAAAACCTCCCTGGCTGCAAAGCAGGATTTGATTGGCCAAATCAGATTTTCTGTCGGGTACCAAGAGAACCTTGTGAGAACCTTGTGTGAAACCTTCATTCCCTGTTTGACAAACTGCTTGTAATCAGGTCTGAGAAACTGGAAATGTTCCCTCAATTGCACCAGTTTGTTATTAGTGTAAATGCCATTTCTTATTCCTAATAAAAATCTTGCTGCATCCTGATACCAGTATGGCCTTCTGGTTTGATTCCAGCCTTTCTTCACACCTCTCTCCCTTTACATCCCTTTCTTAGGTGATGATTAGAAATGCACCTATGTGCACAGGGCTAGGATATGTCCCTTACAATGATTAATTCCTCCTTCCCAGCAGATAGAACTGGGAAATATAAATTAAAATAAATATCTTCACTTGATTTATGTCTTTTCTTTATAACCATGTTGACGTGGAGCACATGGAGCTGCCTTGGTGTCTGTGGTTGTGATCATAGTATGAGTTGGGTTGGAAGGCACTTTAAAGGTCTTCTAGATCCAACCCCCTGCATGGGCAGGGACACCTCCCACCAGCCCAGGCTGCTCCAAGCCCCATCCAACCTGCCCTTCAACACCCCCAGGGATGGGGCAGCCACAGCTTCCCTGGGCAACCTGGCCCAGGGTCTCTCCACCCTCAGAGCAAAGAATTTCCTCCCAATGTCTAAGCACAAACAATTGTGGAATTCAAGGAAGATTTATTTCTATTTTAAAATCAAAACCTCCAAGAAAAAAAAAAAAAAAAAAAAGCTGCTGGAAACTGGAGAACCCCTCTGCTCCCCAGAAAGCTGGGGACACTTTGGTGACACCTTGGTAAAAACCAACCACCCCTACAGAAGACACTTTCTGGACAGCAATGCTACCTGAGGAGGTCCCAGCCAGGAAGCAGTAATTCTGGACATGGCACCACAGTTTTCCAGACCAGCTGAGGGGATGGCAGCACTTCAGCTCAGAGACAGGAATTCACCTGGTCTGCAGGTGTCTGAGATGGCCTGAGTCTCACTCCAGGCGAAGCCACCAGAGCGCAGTGCTGAGTCCAGCTCTGGCTGAATATTTATCCTGTGCTCCCAGGTTTCCTGCCCATTCCAGGGACACAGTTTCATGTGCTCACATCGACAACAGTCTCGTTTTCTGGCTTGAATTGTAGACATAGCAAGGCATAAATATTTTTAAGACCTCAGAAATACTGGTCCTCAAACAAAAAGGACTTCTCAGCCCCTCCTTGTGGGCAGCTGCTCCTTTCTCATTGCATTTCCTTCTCTACCACAGCTCATCCACTCCTCTGCTGTTCTTTGACTCCTCCCAGGGTGTAGGAGAGATGCCAGGAGATGCCAGCACCACCTGGGTGTGCTGCTTTCCAGATGAGACAAAATCCACCCACGCTGGATGAGGAGCACTTGGGTGGGTGATCCCAAGTTGTCCACCCTGGGCTGGGAAGGATTGTACAGCAACAGCTGGGAACCCTGAGCAGGGTTTGGATTTCAGTTAGAAACTGGAACGAAAAATGTCCCTGTGCTAGCTCAGTTCTGGAGCCCCAAACATAAGAAGGACATGGAGCTCCTGGAGAGAGTCCAGAGGAGGCCATGGGGATGATCCAAGGGCTGGAGCAGCTCTGGAGCCAGGCTGGGAGAGTTGGGGTGTTGAGCCTGGAGTGGAGAAAGCTCCAGGGAGACCTTAGAGCAGCTTCCAGGGCCTGAAGGGGCTCCAGGAAAGCTGGGGAGGGACTTGGGCCAAGGGCAGGGAGGGATGGGATGAGGGGGAGGGATGAAAAGTGGGAGAGGGAGCTGGAGGTTGGAGCTGAGGAGGGAATTGTGGAGTGTGAGGGTGGGGAGAGCCTGGGCCAGGTTGGCCAGGGAAGCTGTGGCTGCCCCATCCCTGGGGGTGTTGAAGGGCAGGTTGGATGGGGCTTGGAGCAGCCTGGGCTGCTGGGAGGTGTCCCTGCCCATGCAGGGGGGGGTTGGATCTCAGTGATTTTTAAGGTCCCTTCCAACCCAAACCATCCCATGATTTCTATGATCCTATTCTGGATTGTGATGTTCATCAAGCCAGCCAGGAAGAGTTTTACTCAGGCTTCTAAATAAATAATCCAAAGTCAATTCATGGACATTTTTGCACATATGTTTGGATGTCTTTTCTGATGGAGATGCAATAAAATTATGGATTTGACATAGAAAGAAATATTTAATGTTGATTTAATAAATGGGTTTAATGATTGTTTGCATCTAATGGACCCATGTCTGTCACAGCACTAATGTGATTTGTCACACAAGGAATCTGAGCAGACAAGGCCCTTATGTCACATTAACTTGGCTTTTCTGGAGTTATCTCTGAATGTTTTACACCATTATTTGCACTGGCAGAAATGGCTGGGAATGGTTCAAGTCAGTAAAGTGCATGAAACCTCCACTATAATAAGGGAAAAACCTCACAAAAACAACATTAAGAAGCTTCTTTGTGGGTTTGTAAAATTCTACAAGTAATTCATGTGGTGGAAACCATGAACAACATGAGTCAAAAGGAGCATTTTGGGGTGTCAGCAGCATTGATAGGAGGATGTAGCTTCCTTTGCCCTTCCAGGAGGACAGGATGGTGAGACGAGGGGTGAATCTCCAAGAATTATGTCATGAGTGTGTTGGTATCTGTAGGTACATGTCCCCACTGTCATTACCTGCTTTCAGGCAGGGTGAAACCAGGTGTGGTTGGGGTAGGAGAGGCAGAGCGGGTGGGTTGTTTCCCCACAAACTCTTCTTCCCTTTGTTTCTATTCCTGTAGATGTGAATCATCTACCGTAAACTATCAGCAGATTGAAGGGTGGCTCTGCAGAAATTGCTTGGAAGCAGCACTGAGAGGAAACCCCAAGGCCACGCCGGAAAAGAAGCTTCTTCCTCCTTCTTGGTGGGTCACCTGTCAGCATTGCATGGCAGTTTTGGGAACAGGCACTCAATGCCCACGGTCAAACTGCAATAAAATTAACATTTTGGAACTAAAAGTCTGGTGGTTCCTCAAAATCAGGCACCCAGACTTCAGCTCCCTTGGAGGGGATGGGTTTTAGAAGGGAAGAACTCATCTTCTGGAGGTTGAAGACAAGTTCCTAAGTTGTGTTAGCTTGGATACACCAAAGGGATTGACTTTGTTGGAAATAGTTTTGTCAGCAAACATTTGAAGAACTGAAGGCTGGATCTGAGGAAGACATCTACTGAGTGAGCAGCCAATCTCCTGCATCAGCTGAATCTGCACTTTAATATTCCAGCTCAGATTTGTCCCAGGGTGATGCATGGCTTCTCCCCCTGACCTGTTTCATCCCAAACCATGAATCGTTCAGCACTCAGAAGCCTTGAGGTCTTCAGCAATGATCCAATGGAGTCTCTGACTGTGAAAGCTGGACATGAACCTCTCATTGAGGGACTTTTTACAAGGGCATGTAGCAAGAAGACAATGGGGAATTGATTAAAACTGGGAGAGAGGAGACTGAGGTTGGAAATTAGGAAGAAATTCTTTAGTGGGGAGAGCCTGGGCCAGGTTGCCCAGGGAAGCTGTGGCTGCCCCATCCCTGGGGGTGTTGAAGGGCAGGTTGGATGGGGCTTGGAGCAACCTGGGCTGGTGGGAAGTGTCTCTGCCCATGCAAGGGGTTGGATCTAGATGATTTTTAACATCCCTTCCAACCCAAAACATTCCATGATTGTCTGAGCCTCCTGTCCCCCATGTCAGGGCTGGTTAAGAGCAGCTCCCTGCTTGTAGGTTGCTCCACCTGTCCTTCCAAAGCTTGAAGTAGGACATGTGCTTTGTGTTTGCTTCTAGCCCAGGAGGAGAGGGACATTGCCCATTTCCAAACCTCTAACTCAAGAGGAAGGTGCCTGTGGAGCCTGATGTGCCTCAGATCAGAGTCAAAGGAATGAATGTGCCTGGGGGTGATGGGATAAATTGCACAAGGCCCCCTGAATGGAGCATGACTTGGAGAAGTGGGGCAGCATCTCACGTGGGTCAGCAGAATGTCTTTATGGATCAACTTCTGAGCAATCTTTGCTCCATGAGGCAATCCAAGAAGTTGGAAAAAGCAATAAAAGGAAAAATCAAAGAGTAATGAGAAGAATGCAACAACAACCATCCCTGCTGAGCCCAATCATTGCATTATCTGGGGCAGTGCCAGGTGGAGTGGATTTTTGTTTGC